CCGTTTTTATCTTATCGATATATTTCGATTTTTTGCTATATATCGATATATATCTATATAAAAAATTTTCTGATGATGGCAAGTACTACTTCTACATTGATTGGAATAGTTCTTCCTTGTATTTTTACAGATAAATTATGAATAATTCCCAAGGGTCTTGATATAGTTCCAGTAGTAGCGACAATTAAACTTCGTAATAGTTCGTCGATTTTAAGACCTAATTCCTTTATAGTTTTGTGGGCAATCATACTCACAGATGCACTACTATCAATAATAGCTAAGTAAGTTTGATCCTTTATATCTACATGACATTTAACAGGAGTAATATTATTAGTAGGTTCTGGTTTAGTAATTTCTCGATTTGTTTCAGTAATATAAGCGGTGAGTATAGTTTGAATAGAATAGTTGTTCAAAAGTTTTTAGATAAAGTAGAGGTTAAGAGAGTAGATCTAGGTTCCCATCTTTCTTGACTTTGGTCTCCAGACCTGCTTCTATTTTGAGAGTAGTTTTGAGAATAATTTTTATCTCTACTTCTACTTCGATTTCAAGATCTACTTCTATTCTTCTGATAATTATTAGACCGATTATTGTTGTAGTTGTCATTGTTGTTGTAACGGTTGTTGTTGTAGTTATTATTGTTGTTTTGGTGATAGTTGTTGTTTCTGTTGTTGTTACTTCTAAAATTGTTATTTTGTCTAACTTCTGCCTTTCTGGCATAGCAGTTCTTTTGATAATAACTATGTTTTCCACAATAATGACAAACATCTTTTTCTTTTTAGCTATTTGCTGTTTTAACAGTATATGCAGTTTGTTGTTGTTGTTGTTGAGCAAGGTTGATACTGAGTTTAGCAATTTGGTTAGTAAGTTGAGTAATAGCCTTGGTAGTGTTGGTATCGGTAAATGCAATCAATCTTCCTGCTTTCCATTGTTTAGCAGTTTCGATGACTTCATCTAGAGTATTTCTGTTAGTAGTTTGTACAGGCATAGCAAGTTTAGAGTGCAATCCTTTAATAAAATGTTGGATAAGAAAAGCTTCTAATAGTGTAATGATTTTATTTTTTAAATTTTTAAATTTTGCAATATAGGCATCTATAGTATCAGTTCCTTGTTTTAACTCAAAGAAACTTTGTTGCCAAAAAGCTTTTTGTTTATTATTACTAAACCTAGTTTTGAAGAGAGGTTTGAAACTAGTATTTGGAGAACTATCGTAGGCTATCAATATTGTATCAGTAAATCCTTTAACCCATTCTTTGGCAATTCCTTTCATATATGCTTTTGCCAAAGCAAATCATTGAGTTTTATTCCAATTATTAGCCTTAATAGCACGTTCGAATTTGTCAAGCCAGTCAACAAGATCTTGGGTTCCATCACCTTTAAAGGATTCAATTTTAATAAGATTCTTTTCGCTGTTACTTTCTAGTTTAAGTGCTTGAACAAGCCAAGTCAAAGCTTGTACAGCTGTATTTAGATTTGCAGCCATATGATTCCTCTTTAGATGATTTAGTTGTTTTAGATTTGCTATCACCTACAAACTTGTTATTATTAAATAAAGTTGTATAATCAATGATATGGACTTGAGGATGGTCAGAGCCTGTAGGTGAAGTAGGTCGACTTTGATTGTAATTCCAAGGTTGTTGGTCAGGAAAACCTTCAGGGAGTTGTAATACAGTATCTTCAAGAAGAGGAACTTGTCAAAATTGCAGGTCTGTTGCAGAGTTCCAAGAGTCAATCTCAATATTATCTTGGGGTTGGTCTGCTTCCCAATAATTAACAATAGAAGTATTGCTTATAGTTGGGTATATTGGAATATATTCAACTTGGTTGTTGTTGTTATCGAATAAATTTTCTTGCTTCATGTTGATAATAGTTTCTGGGGTAGAAAGGTGAATTTGTTATTGTTCCTTGGTTAGATAAGAAAGAGTTCTAGATAACACTAATTCGTCAATGCTATCAGTGTCTGACTCTCGATTAATTAAATTAGTAGGAGGAATTATAGAACTATAAGCAGGAGTAAGAAAATCAGCTTCCAAAAGATCAGTACTGTTTGAAGAAAAAGAGGACTCAGTAGTTAGTGTAGGAAAATAAATGTTAGTTATTTCTTTAGAAACTTCAGCAGATTGATAAAATTGTTGTTCAGTATCAGATTTAAAGATTGTAGTAGTATTAGGTGAGAATGTAGTAATGTGAATAAAGCGGTCACTATGTTCTAAGTGTTGAGAAGTTGATCCTAATTCCTTAGAATATTGAATATGTTAAATAGGTAAAGAAGAATTATTAGGGCGATCAATATATATATCATAGTGATTTTGATCTGCTTTTTCAATCTGTGAAATGTTAGTATATAAAGTAAAACAATGAAATAAAATAGAAATTTTTTTTTTTTTTTTTTTAATATTGAAGTGACCACTTAGGCCCCTGGCACTTTATTAGTTCAAACGGGTGGGCCGT